CCTCTTCCCCAAGATGAAAATTCAGCTAAAGGGAAGGAGATTTGAGACGATAGAAGAGATTCAGGCAGAATCGCAGATGGTGCTTGACAGGCTGACAAAGAAAGATTTCCAGGGATGCTTCCAGGCTTGGCAGCGGCGCTGGGATCGTTGTGTTCACTCCCAGGGGAACTACTTCGAGGGTGATGGATGAATTTAATACCTGAGATAAGTGTACGGGTTTTTATAGGCGCAGTCTAGAAACTTTCCGATCGCACCTCGTATAACCGTTTTTCGCTTTTTATTAACACGAAGATCTTTCGTGGTTGTGAGTTTACAAGATACCAGTAACTATGTGCAGATATGAGAAAGTTTGTGAAAATTTTGGGTAATGTTCATAATTATACAATAGTTACCCCGATAACTGAACGTTGCGGATATGATGCCGTCCTCGGGGAGACGAACCGACGTACCTGTTTCCTCTTCAAGACGTGGCAGTGAGAAGAGTACCGCCACCAACACCACCATTACACATACGCAGATAATTGCTAGCATTGTCAGACGAGTCCTTGTACACTTCATTTTGCGCCCCCACTGCAACATTCTGTTCTTCCACCCCACCATTGGCTCCACCTCTTGGTCTGCAAGAGAATGATGAATAATCCGTGATGAATTTTTGCAAGTACAGTAAACCTTCGCCAACGTGGGGGACATGTGTCTCGGAAGCTGTGCGTTAAAGTAAATAAACAATAATATGAATGTCGCTGTTTTCTGCTTTGGAGCGCTACAACCCACAAGACCCTAAATCCTGCTAAACAATAGTATCAGCGCCCTGATAGTGGAGGCAGCAAGGCCTTCTGTCATGATGCTCTCTTTGACACTTCGCAAATGACTGACGCATACGAATGGACTGGTGGATTATACTAACAAGAATTTAACTCTATCAAATACTTGTTGGTTATCTCAGAAGACGGTGACGCAAATACTCTTTATGGAACATGGCGACATTTTCTTGCCAACGTGTAAAACAGAACGTGATTTAAATGACGAAATACTTCACAAGTCTGATTAGCACGTCGTAAGTTTGTTAAGGCGTCTTGACGTATAAACCGAAATAAGAATAGTACCAACATTATCTCATTATGATCATTATTATTTAGAACTAGCAATGGGCTTGGGGACATAAAGGATGTTGTACAGAGTTTCAGACTAGAGAATATATGAAATGATATAATGAAGATGGCTGGTCTTCTGGGTTGTTGCGCCGTATAGTCTGGACGGGCTCTTGTAAACACGGTAATGAACAAATTAACATATATTGTCAATATAAACATAACGAAGCACTCCAACAGTAGGAGTTCTGCTAGAAGTAGCTGATCTCATAAGAGACAGTGAAATTTAGCTGTTCATTGTTTCAGTGAATCAATCAATGTCCACCACAGTTTGAAATTTACCGCGACTGGCATTTAGAACAAGAATTATTTCGTAGCGACAGGGAGCAGGGTAGTGCTCACTTACAGTCAGTCACGAGTCAATATGGTGGCATTATACATGCAATTCGTGTTATACAAGTCCAGCGCGGTGGTATTGATTGTACGAGTTGCAGTCAGGCAAATGTAGGCCACACGCGACTTTATTCGACATCGTTTGACGGTAGAGAATTGTGTCAGCGCGATGGGGAGTCGAATTTGAATTATCCATGGACATATACCGCACCAAACATACACGCTTAACTAAAAATTAAATCTAAAACTTGCAATAACGTCTTACTGTCGTTTTTAATCCAGCATTCTGTTACGTATTGGTCAGGTTAGTTCAATCAGAAAAGCGAATGGGTGTAGGTTAAACGACCTGGATTCGATTCTCGGCATGGGAAGGGATTTTTATCTTCGTCACCACTGTGCCCAGACCAGTTGTGTGGTTCGTACAGCTTTCTACCCGACGGTTACCGAACGCTGTTTCTCCATCTAGGATGAGTAGGTCTTTACCTACACATTTTAACATCGTGTTAGTTAAGCGCAGGGAAGAATATGAACCTGACAGGTGGGTCAGTAAAGTGACTGAAGGACGACCGATGGAATTTTGTCTTTGTCATCGCGTTCAAACCCGTCGTTGGGCAAAATTAGTCACCCATCCAGATATCAAGGTTGAACCACTCGGAGTGTGAAGCTAACCATTCACCTCCAGCTAGTTATTAACATTTAGAGTTTTCCTTTAACTCCCCACATACGCCTTCACAGAAAAGCAGAGTCGATAACGTGACATGGTACTGGCTGGAAGACCGCGATTCGATTCCTGGCACAGGCAGAACTCATCTCTTTCACAAAGATGGCTGTCCTCTGAGTTTTTTTTTTTTTTGGTGTTCAGTCTGGTAGCAGTTGCCTATGTTTCAGAGGTGCTTCCTCTCCTGTCATCCTGACAAACTTCTACCAGATTGCACGGCGCAAAAACCCAGATCACAGCCATCGTCTTACTCACTGCCTCAGATCTGACATCTGTGCCGCGTCTGTATAGACTAGGGTCTACATAGTTCTGTATGGGCCTACAGCCGATTTCGGGGACAATTTCCCAGCAACGTCAGATCCATCATCCACGTCCATCTAGTGCATAACGTCTGGAGCGTTGGCTGCATTCCGTTTCCACTCCGTGGTGCTTAAGCCCAACGAGTACTTCATCTTCACAGTTTGTAAAAGCTGTAAAACACCTAATAGATAATACGGCTGTCCTCATTCGTTCTGTTTGATTTAACATACACCAGCCTATGGAGTGCATTTTGTTGTGTAAATTAACTGTCTGGCAGCAGAACCCAAAGCTTCAATACTGATAATACCAAACCTCGCAAATGGATACGATCCTGTTCCATCCACTTCCGATTCGTACAACCTTATATTATCCCCCTATCCCCCTCTATGTCTTACAAGTAATCTTTTAACATAATTTTCTACAAAATTCTGTAAGCATTCTATTGCCGTCACATCCAATCCCACTCCATCGTAGGCTCTTTGTGAGCCTAAACAATAATACGTGATTCGTACGTCAGGAAGTTTATCGTTATGTAAGTTCATTGCATGTGGAGAAAATTGCATAATGAGGAGCTCCACTGTTTGCAGTCTTCACCAAATATTCTTAGGATGATGAAGTCAAGGATAAAGTGGGTTGGGCAGGCATGTAGCACATGGGAAGATGAGAAACTCGTACAAAATTTTGGTTGGAAAATCGTGAAGGAAACAGACCACTCGGAACACTAGGCGCAGAAGAGTTTGGGTGTGTAAACCGGATTTATATGGATCGGAATAAGGGCCAATGAACATTGGTTTCATAAAAGGCGGTGAATTCCTTGACTAACTGAGCGTAACCTACTATTAGCTTTTCAAGGACTCTGCTCAACTGATTTATGTAAGTTAATTATCCCAGATTACTCACTTAATCCATCCTTTAGTCCAGATATTGTACAGTCTTCCTGGCAGAAAGGGAACACGCTTAACACCCATACAAATTATCTTGAAAAATTATTATTTTTCATGACAGAGTCTTGTGGAAACTAGATGTGATGACAAAGTAAGTGGTAGCAGTAACTCAGACTTTGTTGTGCAATTAGACGAATTTACTGTGTGATGCTATGCAGGACCTGATGTATAAAAACTTTTAAGTTAGAAACATGCGCACTGCAGCGTACTGTGGGAATTTAAAATGAAGGTCATCGTTACAATGCTGATGTTTTATTAGCTAAGGCTGTCGCGACGTCTTGCAACTCAAGTAATTTTGTCTCTCTCTCTCTCTCTCTGCCCTGTCAGGGAATTTTGTGTGGTGAATTTATTGTATTGTGGCGAGTTTTCTAGACAGCGCAACCGTGAAGCGAGCGAAATTAAGGGGACGTGGTAAGCGATGTCACCGCCATCTCCCCGTCGTCAAATTTGCACGTTTCTAATCAACTACAAACCAAACAATCATGAAATCTGATATATGTATAGCTGTTTTCTTTCTGACATTTCTTTTTCTAGAAATATATACAAAATCTTTTACCTCCTCCTCCCCCCCCCCAAGCGCATATATGGCGTATAGTGGGACAGCTTTCCTTTTGTTTACTTCATGATTTTACGTAAAGTCAGTATCTTCGCCAGCTTCCACAACAATATTTAATTAGCCTTATTGGTATAAATGCCATGCTTCCGCTTTGTATAGTTGGAAAGAAATATCAAGTAGTTTTATTTTTCGATAAATATATAGCACCGTTTCTCAGAAAACGTACAACATTTTATTTTATCTTCATATTGAGGTTATCGTCCTACACGATCGATGTGAATAAAAACAAAATTCGTGCGTTAACTTTTATTGTCGATTACTGAATACAAAATTTCATTCATATTTATTAATTTGATGATTATTTATTGAGAGATAGGCAGGGACGGACACTGTCTTTCCATTATGTTTATTTTATTAACTGTGTACAAAGATCTTAAGGGACAATATGGAGCCAATGAAGTAGGTGTATCAGCTGAGTGGGATGAGAATGAAAGTTTGTAAGGGGCTCTACTTTTCGCCTAGCACGTCATGGTCATGACCATGGTCGAGATGAGCCGATCATAAGACGTCGCAACCCAGAAAAACAACTTCGACTCTTGCCATTTGGGATAAAGTGACAAGAGCGGCGTCTTTGTAGACTCCTTCTCTCTAGGCTTACGCTTCCCCTGAGGTTTCCTGGCCAAAATTTCACATGCATTTATAACTGACCCTCATTTGTGCTGGATGATTCTGTTACTTCTCTGAGGTCCACATATTCTCCGGAGCTTTGGTTCTCAGAGACCGTTAATCCGTGTTCTTCTCTGCAATTAGGATGGGAGGATGAAGATTTCCGTCTTCTGGGTTGTTGCGCTGTGTAGTCTGGTCGATGTTTACCAACGTTTCAGAGGTCATACTGCCTCTGAAACGTTGGTTAACATCGACCAGACTACACAGCGCAACAACCCAGAAGACGGAAATCTTCATACTCACCGCTGTGAGAACCTCAAGTCTTACACAGAATGGGAGGAGTTTTACGCCCATGTAAAACAAAAGTGATAACTTGCTTTATGCACTGTTAGACTTCGTGCTTGAAGTGGGAAACGGAAAGATAAAGAGTGTGTAGTGTACTGAGTCAAGTCTCTGTTTTTCTGCCATTGAAATAACACTTTTAAGAGCCAGTTGTAAAAAAAAAACTAACATCTTACTTCTTTGTTTTCTGCTCTCTTGTATTACTTCCTCACTGCAGTGCTACTGTGCCACGGAAGAGTATTATTGGCTGTGTTTTTATCTGCACAACTAAATGTGTTGTGTTATATTCGAAAGTGAAACACTTTCCGTATAAGTCTTTCTCGGTGGTCCAAACTATAAAATAAATCTGCAAGTTCCGTTTTAATATTATCCTCTATATTTACTCCTGGTCTACTAATTGGCTCATCTCTTTTTCCTTTTATTTGTCTCTCAATTTGTGTTTTTGTTTGCTTGTTCCGTTTATTCTCTGTATTTATCCCCTTCCTTCTTGCTTTGTTTCTCTCATTTACTTTCAAATCTGTCCTGTTTGTTCCTTTAGTTATATGCGCCGTGTATTCCGTTTTGCCGTGTGTCCGTGTCGCCCGTCACAACATAATTGTGTGTTTACATA